AGCTATTTTGAAGTCCTTACCTTGTGCTTTATCTACATCGAATTTCTCAGGGCCTGCTGTAGTAGGTCTGCTGGGCTCTGGTGGAAATACTGTCCTGGTTGTTACTGGTTGTGTTTTTAGGCTGGAGTCTAGGCATCTGGGTCTGGGATGACTGTGGTTCTAAGTGTTGATTTGGTCTTGTTGCCCTCTCAGACTTAGTCCCTGCTGGGTGTGGTCACTGGGAATCCTGGGTAGAACTTGTTTCTGGGTTTGGGGAGCTGATATGCAAGAATGGGGATGGGCTAGAAGGGTGGGGAGGTGGGGGTGAGGGGCTGAGAGGGTACGTGAGGGAAGGAAAGCTGTGCCTGCCAGAAGAATCTGTGGGTCCACAGGGAAGACAGGCCCATGCTAGTGGTTGTCACAGAGCTAGGGATAAGCCTGGGTAATTGACACTGGAGGACAGGACCATGGCCAGCTGGTTTCCAGGGAGAAACAAAGAGATGGGTGAAGAATGCAGGCTGTGGGGAGGATTTGCTTAGTCCCTGGGATGGGGGCAGAGAGGAAGGAGCGCCACAGTAGGTATTCTCCTACAAACCTGGCGATAAGACTGGGGAACTAGGAGAGTGAAGATCCCACCTGGTTCCAAGGCCAGTGTGAAGCCTGTCTTGAGCCCTGGTGAGGCTGGGGCATGCAGTGACCGAGGCAGTTGAGTGTGGGAATGCATATAAACTCTTTAGTGCATTGTTTGAGATCTCTTGACCACTGTTAACTCATTTTATTGAATTGTTGCTAGTTTCTTTGATGCTCTAGATATAGGTCCATTATGACAAAATCCAACATCAATTTTCATTTTGTGATATTGCTTTCTGCATCTTGTTCAAGAACTCTGCCTCTGCCTTCAATGTTATGAAAATGTTGTTGACAGCTTAATGGCTTTTGGTTTCATAGTCACATCTCCGGTCTTCTCAAATTAATTTTTGTATATGAAGTGAAGTGAGGATTAACCTGATGGATCCTCAGTCTTTCAGCACCACTTGTGAAGGCTTTCTTTTCCCGTCATGTCGGAACCTCAGGCAAACGCGTCGTTTCATGCACTGTGAGTCATGTCTGGCGTCCGCCCCGCCCCCTGCATTCTCTGATTCTGTCAACGCATGCTAGCCTTCTTCATTCCCACCTTGTGAGAAGTTTTGAAATGGGGTAGTACAAATCTTTTAAACAAAACTCTGTGTGCATTTAGAGGTGTATGACGGATGTCCTTCAGGAGGTTATTTTAACATTCTCAGTCTTTCTAAAGATTCATTTTTCTTTCTCCAGCCTTTACATGTCCTTAATAATTTCAGAAACATCAATTTCTTCCGAAAAGCCTTGAACTTTGTCAGGCATTACCCTGAACTGGTGAGTCTATTTGAAGAGAGAGGACATCTTAATTTTAGTATCAGTGGACATCATTTATCTAGTATAAATAAAAATATACTCCTTTATTTAAGTCTCCTGAAGTATCTCTCAGGAAAGTTGCATAATTTATCATGAAAGTCTCACATATTTAAATAGTTTTATTCTATATTACCATAAAGATGCAATTTTTAGAGCTTTATTTTTGAAGAATTGCTGGGATATAGAAATACAGTAGATTTTTCCATTCTATACATTGTAGCATCTTGGTTCTATTAGCTGTGGAGGGTTTGGAGGAAATTTCATAGAGTTTCTATATATACAATAATATTTTCTGTAAATAGCTGCCGTATTTACCTTTTTATTTTCTTTATTGCACTAGCCTGGACTTCAGATTCAGCTGACAGGAGTGATGAGAGAAGACAGCTTCTTTCCTATGTTAAAGAAAGCGTTTCAAGTCTGACCAGAGGTGTGGTGCTGTCTCTCTCTAGTCAGGCTGACGCTGCCTGTTCCCTTTAGGTTTGTTGAGCTACAGTGTCACAGAGGTGTTTGATTTGTAGATGCTGGTTTTCCGTGTCTGTGAGGTGATCTTATGCATCCGCTTTGTTCTCAGTCTGACGACACTCACTTCCCTGTACCCTCTCTCTGGTCTCCTTCCATTGGCCAGAAGGAGACAGGAATAACAGTTGTTCTGACTTAATAAGCTGGAAGGTCAACTTTTTGTGGTTTATGGGAGATTTTTAAACAACAGCCAAGACTGGGAGTAAAGAGCACGTGGCGTGAGTCCAGTCCGCGGCCCTGCAGAGGCAAGAATGTGGGCTTCCTTAGCGGGGATCCTCAATGATGGCCCAGTGAGCTCACTCCATCTTTTAGACTCTGCTTTCACTGATCTTGGTTTTTAAGGTCATTACTAATATATTCTGAAGAAGTTGTATGTAGATGTAACATACCACCATAGTTGTATCTTGTTTTATACAGATGCAGAAAAAGTAAGATACTGAAACCATATTATATGTAATTTCCCATTCCTTAGTCGTCGTTTGGTTCTTTGGGAGAGAACATTCTGAAAACCATCTGTCATATACCCTGTAGATTGATCGAGGGGTCAACTCAGTAAGAGTCTAGAATCAATCCAATGGCAGAAGTAAGTGTCTAATATACAGAGCCTTTTTATGTTCATTTTCACATGATTATCATTTCTGCAGTGTAGTAGGTTAATCTGATTTCTTAAATGTTCTATCAGAATGGAAACTATAGCAAAAAGTGGCTCCTCAGAGAAATGTGCATTTATCTGAGATAATGGGTCAGTCACACTTACATACACAGATGTTTTTATAGCACTCAGTTGGAATCCCCAAGGAAATCAGTTCTTCATCCTCTCCATTTCTTCTGTGGCTCTGCTGCACAAACAAGTAAGGCCCCCATGAACCAAATGTCTGTCAGTGAGACAGTGTGCACCGTCGGTAAGACAGTGTACATCGTCGGTAAGACAGTGTGAGTCGTCGGTAAGACAGACAGTGTACATCGTCGGTAAGACAGTGTGAGTCGTCGGTAAGACAGTGTGCACCGTCGGTAAGACAGTGTGAGTCGTCGGTAAGACAGTGTGCACCGTCGGTAAGACAGTGTGCATCGTCGATAAGACAGTGTAAGTTGTCGGTAAGACAGTGTGAGTCGTCGGTAAGACAGACAGTGTACATCGTCGGTAAGACAGTGTGAGTCGTCGGTAAGACAGTGTGAGTTGTCGGTAAGACAGTGTGCATCGTCGATAAGACAGTGTAAGTTGTCGGTAAGACAGTGTGAGTCGTCGGTAAGACAGACAGTGTGCGTCAACACTTTGATGAGATAAATGTTGTCTTCTGCTGGGAATTACCCTCTGCCGTCTTTCAGATCTAAAGCGTGTAAGGACCGAGGGGTCTGGGGAGCTCCTTAGAAGTGTTTTATTTCCAAGACAACCAAGATCATTTTGGAACTGATCTGGCATGCTTCTCTCGACTCATATGAACATGTCTTTTCCTGTGCTGGAAATGGTGACTGTCTGTCTAAGCCACCACGGAAGGAGCAGGAAAGACCACAGAGGCGGCCTAATTCAGGACAGTATGGTGGCTGAAGAGGTGGTTTTTAAACCATCCACTGAGACTGGTCTGCTGTAGATGTCACAAAGAGCATAATCCAGGGGCAGTAAGAAACTCATCCCTGGGGGCTGGAAAGGCCACCGCTTTTCCAAAGGATCCAGGTTTGAGTTCCAGCACCCACGTGGCTTCTCACAGCTGTCAGTAGCTCCAGTTCCAGAGGATGTGATCTCCACAGGCACCAGTCACATACGTGGTACACAGACATGCACACAGGCAAAGCACTCACATCCACGTTAAAAACGATGGAGGTGATGGTGGTGGTGGTCCTAAACTCGGCTGCAGCCCAGTACACCACTATTAAGCATTAAACAAATATATTTTATAACAACACAGTGATGTATTTACCATCTATATTTTATTTGGTTGGGAAATTTAAACATTGTAATTTAATTAAATGTGGTTTTTTTTTGTTTTTGTTTTTTGTTTGTTTTCAAGACAGTATTTTACTATGTAGCTCTGGCTGTCCTGAAACTCACTCTATAGACCAGACTGGCCTTGAACTCACAGAGATCTGCCTGCCTCTGCCTCACTAGTGCTGGGATCAAAAGCGTGTGTCACTACACCCAGCATAAAAATGAGGTGTTTTTTTTTTTAAATTGGCCACTTTCAAATGTCCAGAGGAGCATATGGTACAATTAAGATCAGTCTTCTCTCACTTTCTTCTATGGCTTGGAGAGGGCTTAGAGCCCCGGCTTCCTAACACTTAGCCAGGCTGATATTTGCTCACCATTTAGAAGGGATGGGCATGGCACTTCTCCAGGCAGAAGCAGCATCTGGGAAGGAGCTCAACCTCCCGAGTTCCAGGTGGAGGTGAATTTGACTTATTTTGGCAATAGATCAACTCCAGCCAGATGTTGTGGCTATAAGGTGAGGCCGGAAAGACAGGGTTGTAGTGCCCCAGGGTGCGGTTTCCTACTTCATGCTTGACCAGATGAGGTATTCAGGTCCCAGCCAGAGTAGCAGTTCATTGAAGATTTGATTAGATATGACCCATGGCCAACTTACTGCATTCTGTTTCTTAAAGTGAGTAGGATTATAGGGTCAAGTAGTTTATTTGTCTTAAATGTCCTAGGAAGCAGGACCTAAATCCAGTTAGAAAGTGGTTACTATCAGGATGTCTTGCTGGCCGGTTCTTAACTGTAGCTCACAGCTGGGTAAGACTTGTGGCAGCTCAAGCCAGACCAGATGCCAGCGTGGAGAGGGGAGGTAGGCGTGGAGTCTGCCCCTGGCTGCTGGGAGAGGTAGGAGAACACAGAGTTGGGTGGGTAGGGAATCGGGAGAGCGGACCTGGGAGAAGTTGGGAAAGGGAGTGCCCATAATCAAAGCACATATGAGATTCTCACAGAACTAATAGAAAATGTTCACGACTTTAAGAGAGCGATGCAGATCACAGGGCTTTTGCTCACACTCTGGACTGTCAATCCAGTGGGACCCAAGCCTTGCGTACCAGACTCCACTCACCCCGTTTTGCTTTGTTGTGTTTCTTTGTCGTTTTAGGCAACAACCGAAGTGGAAATCAAGAAGAAAGGCCCTGGGTCTCTCTTGGTCTCCATGGAGCAGCTAGCCTCTTACGGGCGGAAGGACAGGATCAACAGCATCATGAGTGTCGTCACCAACACGCTAGTGGAAGGTATGCGCCCGGGTCCCTGTCGGAGCAACCGATCTGGGAGTGTGTCGTGTGCGTGGCGAATGAGACCCTGCCCCTCCATGTGAGCTTTGCAAAACTCTGAGCCTTTGCAATAGATCATACCAAACATAGAAACCAGGGCCACAGACTGTCCTCCGGAAGCCGCATTTGGAGACTCAAATAAAGGCCTAAGGTCTACCTCCAGCATCATACAGAGGCGAGAAGGATGGAGGAAGGGCGCGGAATGGCTGGAGGGTCCCTAGAGGCTCCAGTGAAACCGTCCTGGGTAGATGCTGTGGGTAGAGCGGCACATTCCACGTGATGGAGTCCCTTCCTGGCCTCGGCCTCACAACATCCTCTTTTCCCCTCTAGTGACTTGCAGCCCTTTAGATGTTTTCTGAAGGAACACATTCTGTGCATTTGATGGCCCCTAATTCTGCCACTCTCCAGACACCCCACACATCCACAGATAACGTGTGATGTGTAATGAGATAAACCCCAAACCAAGAGTCTCTCCCCAAGACTTTGTGCCACAGGGGAAAAGCCACTACTTTTGAATCCTAACTGGTCTCCAGTGATGTCACTGTGCTGACTTCTCCAGGCTCCATTTTCTCCCTGACACAGCTTGGCCTACCATGGAACTGCTGAGAATTTTCCTTTAGGCCATGGTACCTCTGGCGATCACCACTCTCTCTGCAGTCCTATATGTATCCCAGGCTCCTCTTGGAGGTGAATGCAGTGACTAGGGTCCCTCACATGGGAGTCCCATTTCTGTGAGGATTTTCTTCATCCAGTGCTGCTTTACCTTTAGATAGCTATTCTCAGAGTACACACACAGTCTCAGTGCTCACCATGATCCTTGAGGTGATGGCACTTAGGAGTGTCCTGCTCGCCACAGGACGTGTGTGTGTGTGTGTGTGTGTGTGTGTGTGTGTGTGTGTGTGTGTGTGTGTTGGGGTATGGGTGCCCTGGAAAGAGAATTCCTAAGAAACCCCTGTAGGAGTATTGTTACCCCCAGAAAAAAAAAGGAGACACACCATAACTGGGCTTAAGAGAGCATCAGGTCAAGTCTGTCTAATTGTTAAAAATTGAGCAGCCTCCCTCCAGCTGCCCGGACAACCACTGTCCATTCTAGTTTTTTCAGTTCCCGTTGTGTTCAGTGTCTGAAGGAACATCTTCAAGCTTGGTGGCTTGTGTTTTGAGGTTTCAGGCAAATTACTGCAGACTATAAGAATTCCAAGTTGAGAAACACTAGTCTGAGAATTTTGACTCATTTTATTATTCACTTAGAGACCAAGACAGGATCTTTCCAAGTGTGCATGGCAGTTGAGGAAGAAGAACAAACTCTGTAGATTCATTCATGATTGGCAGGGGACATGGGAACAAGAGAACGATCTGTCCAGAGCAGCAATTACCGATTGCTCATTGCAGTGGCCTGGCATAGGGTTCAGCCAGCGTGGAGACTCAGACAACATTGTCAGACTGGGCTTCGCTGTGCTTGGAATCCCTTGTGGAAGCCATGATTGGATAGAAGGCCACTGGGGCACTTGCCCCTTAAAAACTGACCTTGTCTTTCCCCATTCTGCTCCCACATGCTCTACTTTCCACTAGCGTCCCCCGGGCTGGAGGCGGCTGTGGCTGCAGTTGTGGCCGTGCGGCTCGGCTCTGTTGGTAGGCCCGACTCTTCCCGTAGCCTGTACCCGTCCTCCCACCCGAGCCCAGACACCCTCCTGTCCTGTGCTGTGTCCTGACCCCTTTAGTTGAAGCCAATGAGCTCGAACTGACTAGTGTGAGGAGACTGGAGACATTAACTGACTTTAACCATGGATGCTGCTGTGTTTACTGCCTGCTACATTAAATGAGTCATCATTCCTGTTTCCCACACTTAAAGTTGGGAAGCTCTGACGTTGATCTAATCCAAAGATCTCATTGATTTTGAACCAGTGAAACAGACTCTTGCCTATCTAAAGGTTTAGATACTGTAGTGAGATTTCTAGAACCCTGTTCTTAAGGAGAAAAATCTCTCTGCCCTTCCTCACACCATCCTATTGAAAACTCACTTAGCCGTGTGCAGTGGACTCCACCACATCCCCAGCTAGCAGAGCCGTAAGCTCCGGGGATGCTGCGGAGCTGGGTGAGATGTAGGCCTGCACTAAAGCTGAGGGAGGAGAGAAGACCCTGGCGAGGCGGGAGGGGCGGTAGTGATGGTGGGTGGAGGGGCTGATTCCCTGGAGAGAACTGGCCGCACACTCACGGCCTCTCCAGCATCACCCCGCCGGAGCCGTCAGTGTCTGCCGTCACCTCTTTGGTTCAGCTGGAAGTGCAGAGGCCTAGCCAAAAATTGCTGAAAGTTGTCGAGTCGAGCTGAGGGAAACCCCTACCAGAAACTCGTTGGTCCATCAAAGTCTCCGTCGTGACGAACTTAACAGGCGCACTTTGAAGACGGTTTCCAGTATTCCTAGGACCGAGACGTGTGGGTGACCCCTCTAAAAGTTCCAGAAGCAGTGTAGGAGAAACTTCGTAAACCTTCAAACACTTCACTCCTTTATCTGAGCTCATTCCCCCAACAAACACTGTACCGTGGAGGCTTGTGGGGCCTGGCCATGACGGCAGAGCCCCTGTAAAAACATCAGGTACAGGTACAGGTACAGTTCTGTCACTAGGGAAGCTGAGGCAGGAAGATCCAGAGAACCCCGTGAGGCAACATAATGAGACCCTGACTCAAAATAATACGAACTAAAAAGAAACTATCAAGCCTCCCCATTGAGTCAAGGATCTTCTCCACTTCCCACGCTCATTGTACCCTCTGTGGAGCTGATCACCCAAGGCTCGCCCCAGCCCCAGGACATAGATGAGGGGTAGGGTACAGGTGACCCGTGGGGATCTTTTGGCCGCCGGGAGGGTGGAGAACCCCTTGATCTCTGGTAGGACCTGGAGCCTCGAGCTGTGTAGTGTGGTAATTATGTCATCTCTCAAATGTGAACAGTCAGGGCTTCTTCTTCCACAGCCGAGCCGCCGAGCTGCAGACATTTGGAGAAGGGAGGAGATAAAAAAGGAACGGAACCAGATTTCCAAATATGTACTATAAGAATTTATGGAAATAAGAGAACCTTTTCATTTTCTTTTTTGGGGAGGCAAACTAAATTTACCTTGGGAAAGGAGGGAGTTCTGAGAGAAAGAAGCCGAGGCAGATTCTCTTCACAGACTTCTTTTCCCACGCAAACTCCCACGTGCCTCTCACTGGGGCCCTTCAATCCGAAAACCAAGGCAACCATTTTCTTAGCAACCAGGGAGCCAGTCAGATACCCACCCTACCTAAAATAAAGCCATCACCCTGAGCCACAGCCAGCTGGCTGCAGAAAGGACAGGCGGGATGGCTGACAGCAGCCACCCTGTTCTTGGGGAAACATTGGAAATTTTTGTTTATTTTGTTTATATTCATTTATTTGATTGTTGGTGGATTTCGTATTTAAAATTGGGGGCTTATTATGCAGCCCTAGCTAGCCCAGGGCTTGTTATTTATCCCAGACTGGCCTCAGATTTGTGGTGATCATCCTGCATTAGTTTCCTGAGTGCTAGGCTTACAAGGGTGCCCAGCTCCAGGGAGAACTTTATTTTTATTCCATCAGTGTAACTGGGGTTGAGGTCCTGCAGACCTTGGTCTTGAGATGTCCGTCTGTCTGGTTTCCACCACCTTGGTCTTAAGATATCTGTCTGTCTGGTTTCTACTGCCTTGGTCTTGAGATGTCCAACTGTCTGGTTTCTATTACCTTGGTCTTGAGATGTCCATCTGTCTGGTTTCCACCACCTTGGTCTTGAGATGTCCATCTGGCTGGTTCCCACCACCTTGGTCTTAAGATGTGGGTCTGGCTGGTTTGAAGTTAGGCTTTGTGAAGAACACCTTCGCTGCATGAGGAACTTGAGTTTTGTGATCCTAACTGTTCCGTTTCCTGTGATTTGAGGAGAATTTTGTCACCTAAGCCTTGTCCCTGGGTTGATGTGGCTACAAGCTGAGCTGCTCTCAGCCTTAGCCACCCAGTCATCTTTTTTGGCCTCCTAAATAATCTGAGAGACCATGTAGTCAGTGTCTTTTCAGTGCTGAGAGTCTCCCAGGTCTGGGGGACCTCCTGAAGGAGGCATCCATGTGTGGGTGTGTCTGGGGAGGTCACCCAGGAAGGAGGGCGTCCATGTGTCCGTGTGTCTGGGGAGGTCACCAGGGAAGGAGGGTTTCCATGTGTGGGTGTGTCTGGGGAGGTCACCCGGGAAGGAGGGCGTCCCTTGGGCTGATCCCAAGCTCCTGCTCACACTTCAGCCAGAGTAGTTCTTGGCTTACCTCCGTTACGTATGGGCCACAGGAGGTGTTTGAAAAACTAGATTCTTTTAAGAGAGGGCGCAAGAGAAAGTAAGGGGAGGGGAAAGAAGGCCAGTGCAGTGGGGAGGGAGAGAGAGGCTGCAGGGAGAGAAGGAAAGCGTGAACGCAGGAAAGAGCGAGAGATGAGCCAGGAAGAGAGGGACATGAGGAGGGTGCTCCCCGTGTGGCTGACTCAGCTGTGACCTGCAGCCTCCTGAAGGTGGGGACGCCGGCCCGTCCTCTGAACATGGTGGATACAGGTGTGCTGGCGTCGTCCGCGCTGCGGGCTGCACCCTTCTGCCGTGGCTTCTTGGCATCGCTGCCTTTTCTGCTGGTGGAGACAGCATTTCTGCCAGACACTCTCCAGAGCGCTCGCTGTCTGCTGGGGGGTGCTGAGGCGCTTCACAGATAGTTTAGCGTGTTTAATTAGTTCTGTGTGTGTTGTGCGTACGTGTGTGTTAGTATAGGCGTGTGAAGATACGCATGTGTGCACATTCGCATGGAGACCAGAGGTCAGGAGGCTGGGCTGGCACCAGTGAGCTGCAGGGATCTGCCCGTCTCTGTCTCGCCAGCACTGGGGTTCCACACATGCACTGGTGTGCTGGGCGCTTACGTGAGTCCTGGGGTCCGAACTCAGGCTCTCATGTTTGTGTGGTGAGCATTTTACTGACGGCCATCGCTCCCAGCCCCCAACTTGGTTAATTCTCACCCAAATAATTAATTTAATTAATTATTAATTAATTAAAATTGAAAATTTATAAACGGCTTCTTTTTCATGGTCCCACAATTATCAGCAAGTGTCTGGCCTAGTACTTGAGCCCAGGTATTCCTAGCCTCAGTGTTTATACTTTTGATGGCGGCTCTGATAAAAATGTAATGGCACACTGTAGAACAGAGCGCCTTCCGTAACCGAGGATTTGTGCCGGGCTCTGCACTCGCTGCCTGATGTACAGCATCTCTCCCCTTTAACCACGCGTGCGTAACCTCCTTAGACGAGAGCAGAGCAGCTCACTTCCTGCTCGGACCTACAAAGTCGCTGCTGAGCCCTGGAGGTCAGTCACCTCGCTTTAGGTCGTCCCGTTCACGAGTGCCGACGCCAGCTGAACTGGGGGTCAGACTCCAGGGGCCAAGCTCCTGACCACCGGGACCTGTCCTGTGCCTAGCGCACTGAGACGTATGTGTAGATGGATGCTGTCGGGAGGGCACCTGCCCTTCTCCCTATAGGGAAGGAAACCTGAGGATCCACAGGCAAGTCCCTCTAGTCCCAGCATGAGCAGTGACAGCCACCTGCCCTGTTTTCTCTCTACACCATTGGTCCTCAGCCTTCCTAATTCTGTGACCCTTTAACACAGTTCCTCATGCTGTGGTGACCCCAACCATAAAATTGTTTTTATTGCTACTTCATAACTGCAATTTTGCTACTGTTATGAATCCTAATGTAAATATCTGTGTTTTCTGATGGTCTTAGGTGACCCCTGTGAAAGGGTCATTCGACAAACCCCACCCCCACCCCAAAGGGTATTGACCCACAGGTTGAAAAACTCTCTCTCTCTCTCTCTCTCTCTCTCTCTCTCTCTCTCTCTCTCTCTCTCTCTCTGTGTGTGTGTGTGTGCGTGTGCGTGTGCGTGTGTGTGTGTGTGTGTGTGTGTGTGTATGTACTGAGAGCTCTCTTTGTTCTTTGCGCATTCCAGAGCTGGAAGAGTCTCAGAGAAAATGCCCGCCATGCTGGTATAAGTTTGCCAACACTTTCCTCATCTGGGAGTGTCACCCCTACTGGATCAAACTGAAAGAGATTGTGAACTTGATCGTCATGGACCCTTTTGTGGACTTGGCCATCACCATCTGCATCGTTCTGAACACACTGTTTATGGCAATGGAGCATCACCCCATGACACCACAGTTCGAGCACGTCTTGGCCGTAGGAAACCTGGTAAGACGGAGCAGGGTCTCCCGATGGAATGACTCCCGCGTGGTTTTGCTGTGGGCCTTCTTTTCCTTACTTGGGACATTGGAGTTCAGCTAACCAGAAAGGGATGGTTAGTTGGGGGCGAGTGCACCCCTGTCGTGGCGTCGTCCGCGCTGTGGGCTGCACCCTCAGCTGTGGCTTCTCTGCAGAGCTCTGAGGCCGTCACTTAGAGCTGTTGGCAGGAACCAACCTCAGTGACAGAGTGGGAGACAAAGACAGTGGGTGGTTTATCAGCCGGAGCCAAGGATTTCTGGATTGTTCGTGGGGTTTTTGCCTCCTCTCGTTCTGTTTCTCATGTCGATCCCTGTATTGCTCAAAAAAATCCACTTCCCCTTGTACCTTAGATAACGGCCCCTAAAATGGGGGAGGGGGGTAGTGCATAAAGCACCCCACACCACTTGCACTGTGGAATCTCACCTCCCACGTGGGGTTATTTATGAGAAACTCTCAATTCCAAACTGCCTTCCCCTCCAATCCAGCTTCTGGGCCATCATCCAGTTTCTGCCATTAGCTGGATCTCCGCCAAATTTCCTGTAATGTTAAGTCATGTGTTTATTATATTATTTAGAAGGTAAAATATGCAGCTTTAAAACATCAAGACGTTATCATTTCGGATGGTCTGTTTTCCTGGTACAAAGATGAGACGTTGTTGAGTTCTGATAGTAAAAAATTAGTTGGAAGTAATCCTCCAGGTCATCAAGACCCCGCCCTTCCTTAGGAGCTGCCCCCATCCAGCTCCATGCTTAACTTCGGGGTGACGGCTGCCCGGTGTTCCCTGCACTCATGTTCGCCTTCTTGCACAAGCTCACACACACATTCCCACACACGTGGGATCTCCACCTTCAGCCCTCACACACTGTTATTAATACATTTTTAGTTCCCATCCTTAAAATACGCTTTTACCCAGAGCAGGCCTCATCTCTTCTCCTCTTCCTCTTCCTCCTCCTCTTTCTCCTGTTCTTCCTCTTCCTCCTCCTCTTTCTCCTCTTCTTCCTCTTCCTCCTCTTCCTTCTATTTTTTTTTTTTTTCACTTTTACTCTTTGCAGATGACATGCCCGTTTTCCAGAACTCCCTCGGTCTGTGTCTGACCTCCTGCAATCTCACCGAGCCGGGCAGCTTGGTACAGTACCCGTGTTGGGCTGCCCGGTGCTCATGGCCTCCACCCAGTCCAGCTTCCGGTTGTCTCCTCATTTCGGTTCCGTCCTCACTGGATCACGGCTTAGGTGGTGTGTGAGGCTTCTCTGCACAGTTACCCTTTTCCATTTGTGATTAATTCACTTGTGAGGGAAACATTGTGAGTTATCTGAGTTTCCTGGTCATTGGCTTTTGGCTTGTCCCTCCCTATCAGAACGGACTCCTGCTCCTCATTTTATCCACTCTATTATAGTGTGGTACTGTCATTTACTTCTATGTTCACCCTGTCCCTGATTTGCTATTGGGAAGCCTTCAACCTGGTTTCAGTGTCCTTTTGATATATTTTAGTTTCTTCCTTGCTTTCTGGTACCACAAAAATAACCCAGGATAATTTTGCATTTTTTTCTGTGCCAGAATTGAATAGGACATTCTCAAGAAGCCCTGGTCATCTCAGTGAATGTAGTATTTTGAAGCCAAGACTGGCATCCGGGTGTGCATATTAGAGCAACACGCAGCCTGCTTGGTAGAATGAACCCATTGTACCCAGTGACAGCCACAGAGGACTCTGCCACTTCCGGTCTAGTCTAACGCCACGGCGATCTTTCCGTTTCCTTCCTTTCTACCTTTGCAACTCCTCAGACTATAAGAAGCCAGGTAGCAGTGCCCGTGATAGACTTAGGTGATCATACACCCAGCATTGCCTCCCAGGACGTAGACACCCAGGTCCAGGTCCAGTACCCTCTGCTGGGTGCCTTCAGCACACACAGGTGGTGCCTGCCCCCCTTCAGCACCTGGACCGCTGCTCTCCATAGGGAGAGTCCTTCATCCTTCCAAGACTGACAGCCCGCACAGGCCACCTACACGCCTTGATTTTGTGTGCCCTACTTGACTCTTGAAGAGCCATGCGAGCCTGCCTGGACATGCTCCTCACCCCACCACAGGCTTTCCCTGGAATGGGAGTTCTCTCCAGCCTGCTTAGACTGGGGCTCCTCACACCATGCCACCTGTCTGTGTGACACTCCCACGTGCTCACTTCCGCCCGGCTCACACCACACCACATCCTCACTTCCTGTCTCCTCAGATGGGGCCTCTTCTCTGAGGCACTGTCCTCACCGTACACCGGCCGTTGCTGCGGGGCGCTCTTCCTGCCCCCATGTCCTCCTCACTGAGACGCTCTTAACCCTGCTCACGTTCTCACTCTCAGCCCCGCTTCACCGTCCGGCTCGGTGTGGATGCCTTCCCATCCCACTGGGACCCCGGTGCCAGCGCAGTGTAGCTACCCCAGGCAGATCTCAGCCCACCTCGAGAGGCCCTCCCGGGACTGGTCCTCCATAGTGGAAGGAAGCCTCTCCCTGGCTCTGATGGCCGATGCTGTTCGTCTGCATGACCACGTTACCTTCTTGAGAACTGACTTCTGCTGCCGGGAAGCACCTCTGCCGAGGTCCCTGCTGCCCTGCTTTGCCCCAGCAGCTGGCCTCAGCCCCCCCCCCCCCCCGGATTACTATGGTATCAAGCCTATTGTCGCATAAAAAGTTCTCTGTGACAATGTGATAATCAGTAAGGGTCGTACGTGGTGACCCGCCTAAGGTATTATCCTTGTCGCAGGCCTCTGTCCTGTAATTGACATTCTTTCAGCGTTTCCTAAGGCCTGTGGGATGGGGACAGCACCAGGAGATACAAGGTGTTCTGTGGGCAGCAGAAATGGGAGAGAAGGGAGTGGTTCCTGCGCACGGTACTGCGGAGTGAGCGTAGGCACCAGAGTGTCCAACAGTGAGGAAATTCCTGGGGAATGCTCCATCCAGTGGAGCAGTGACGGGCAATAATGGATTGGGAAGAGGGCATGGCAGCAGAACGGAGTCGCGACAGCTGGGAAGATTAGATATTGCAACATCTGCACGAAAAGTCTCAGAAAGAGATCATGTAAAATGGTGGCTATATGCAAAGTGGGGATACTGTGGACTTTTCCTGGTTTTATACACTTTAGGCAACATCTGATTGCTTTTATCACTTAAGCTGCAGCATATGATTAGGTTTGGTAAGATACAATAGCAAATCATAAACAATAGGTGTATTGGGAACCTAAACACTAGAAGAGTTTTTTTTTTTTTTTTTTTACAAGTGTTATGTTCTTTTAATTGATACATAGTTGTGTGTGTTTACAGGGTGCAGCTGTCATTTTAATACATAGACACATTGTACAATGATCAGTTCAGGGCAGGTTACAAATCTGACACCTGCAACATTTATCTTTCTTTGTAATAACTTCCAGAGTCCTCTCTAGCTACTTTGAAGTGTAGATAAATTATTGCTGAGTGTAATTACTTGCCCATACAGTTAGATCACCAGATGCTTGCTGACCTTTAAAAGGGGGGTAGCCTGTGTCCTGTTCCTACGCTTAGCTTATTTCCTAACCACATGCTACACAGTCCAAACTGAGTGGCTCTGGTGACGGAGTCGGAAACTTCATTCAGACAAAAAGAGACTCTCCTGTATCAATCGGGGGTGCTCACAGGCTGTCCAGGTGCTGGTGGCCGGCAGTGTCGAGGCCAAGGCTGGCTCTGGATTCTTGGGCATGTCGTACTCAAGAGATGATAAGGAGTGTTCTTTTCAGTGCTCCCTCCTTACGCCTCCCTCTCCTTCTTCAGGTATTCACTGGGATTTTCACGGCCGAAATGTTTCTGAAGCTCATAGCCATGGATCCCTATTATTATTTCCAAGAAGGCTGGAACATTTTTGACGGATTCATTGTCTCCCTCAGTTTAATGGAGCTGGGTCTCGCAGACGTGGAAGGGCTGTCCGTGCTCCGGTCTTTCCGACTGGTATTTCAGATCTCTCCAGTTCCTTTGCACGTTTCCTGTCTTACAGCTAACTGCTAGAAATCACTTTGTATAGCTAACGTAGGCTGTCCCCTGAAGTGTCCTCTGTCCTGTCCCCTGAAGTGTCCTCTGCCCCAGTGCAGCGGCCACTTAGTTGACTTCTCCACTAAAATCTTGAAAACTTTTCTGCTATATATAACAAGGTGTAAACATTGGGTTTTGAAATCAATAAGCTAAAGAAATTAAGTTTTAGAGGTTCCTCAGGAAATACAGTTAATTCAGAAGAGGAAGGAGCCCTGGGACCGTCTGAGATCATTTGGCTGGCTGTTGTATTGTTTCTGTATCAGCCCGAAGTGGAGAGAACCTACGTGTTCAAAAATAGTTTCTTCATTTCTTCTGTATGGTGACATCTTTCAGAAATTAAAAAGAAAATAGTGTTTTATTAAATTATATTGAAATTATGGTTGAACATTGGCTTAATTTTCCATGTTATCAGTGACTAATGTCACTTTTATTAACGTATTTGTATAAGGAAATGTTTAAATTGCTAAACGATTCTGAAGAAGTTAGTGAGATCTGCAGAGAGCAACCATAAACACAGGCGTGAGTAGCACCCTGGAGAATCTGAGTGGCCTTGGGGTTTCTCTGTTCCTGTCTTGAGTCAGAACAGTACCTAGCACAGTTCTCACTGAGACAGTCAACTTATCAAAGAGCTGGACTGGAGTGGCGCTCCCAGGATGGAGATGGCACCCATGTCACCTTGCTGAAATGACCGCTTAGGACCCAGCCCACAGCTGGTTTAATTGTTTTGAGATTTATTTATTTATTTTCCCTTTATGTGTATGGGTCGGTTACCTGCGTGTCTGCACACTGCGTGCAGTGCCTGAGGAGACCACAGGGGGCACTAGATCCCTTTGAACTAGAGTCACAGGTGGTTGTGAGCCACCGTGTGGGTGCTGGGAATTGACCTTGGGTCCTCTGGGGGGAGAGCCATCAGTATTCTCCACCTCTGAGCCACCTCTCCAGCCCCACCCCCCCATAGTTGACTTTTTAAAAAGTAGTCTTATCTCAATTAGGAGAGAAAGGGCTGGGTGGTAGAAAAAGCCTGAAGACTAATATTTTGAATAAATTAGAAGCCAGGCAGGGAAAGCAATGTGAGTAGTCCTGAGTGGCACGTGGGTGAATCCCAAGCTTTCACATAAGACCCACAGTTCCGGTTGGCACAAATGACTGCTGTTGACATCTACAAAATGTCTGTGTATTGTAAGAAGTGACATCGAACACTGATCATTATCCCCTTGGCCAACACACCATGGTTTCCTGCAACATAATTCTCAGCCTGTTTGCCAGGACCTTGTAATTACTACAGAGTGTAAACACTTATGATTGACAGGCACCACCACAACTGACGTTTTCTGAATTAGTAACAGCGGTTGCCCCTTCCACAGATGTCTGCCGAATGTGCTCTGCCTCTACTCGGGAGTTGTAATTCCCCCCAATTATTTTGAACATCTCACCCTCTTCTATCATCCACTGGCTAGTTGTTGGCAAGCCAAAGGAAATCCTTAGGCTTCTCTAATGCTTGGTTTTTAGGAAACAGATGTGTTGTCCGCTGTCCCTGAGGTTCCCCACAGATTGCATGCTCTTTGCTGGCTTCTCTCTGAGAAATGAGGAATCCAATCAGGAAGGACTGACTCAGAACAGCATAGAGATCCAGAGGCAGGTCCTTGGGTCCCAGCCTTAAACTTTTCATTTAATTTATGAAAATAACCAATTTTCTTTTATAAATAACTCAATTTAATCTTTTAGTCTGAGACACGATTAGAAAGTTCTGAGAATTTCCTAAGGGTGATAAATAAATTTGAGGCAACCTTCCTAATTTTACGTTTTTATTTCAGCGATGTCGTGAGACAATGGTTTACCATTCCTTTTCTTTTTTTTTTTCCTTAGCTCCGAGTCTTCAAATTGGCCAAGTCCTGGCCCACCCTGAACATGCTGATCAAGATCATCGGGAACTCCGTTGGGGCCCTGGGCAACCTGACCCTGGTGCTAGCCATCATCGTCTTCATCTTTGCCGTGGTGGGGATGCAGCTCTTTGGGAAGAGCTACAAGGAGTGCGTCTGCAAGATCAACCAGGACTGTGAGCTGCCGCGCTGGCACATGCACGACTTCTTCCACTCCTTCCTCATCGTCTTCCGTGTGCTGTGTGGGGAGTGGATCGAGACCATGTGGGACTGCATGGAGGTGGCCGGCCAGGCCATGTGCCTCATCGTCTTCATGATGGTCATGGTCATCGGCAACCTGGTGGTTAGTACCAGTTCCGACCTGTTTTCGTTCTTTGCCCCAGGCCACTGGGCTTCTCTACCACCTTCCTTCCTTCTCTGTTGAAGTCTTCCTTGGCCCAGGTCTGCTTCAGGTGTTTATTATCGGAGTGCCTACTGAGTCATGACACCACCGTAACCTGGTGACCCTTGGTCATGACTGATAAAAGGAAACAGAGTAAGGTTAAGTGACCCCCACACCCTTCTCCAAGGTCACAAAGCTGTTCAGGGTTTTTGTCTGTCTGTCTGTCCTTCCAACTACACAGTTTCCTTTTTTAGAAAAGTCGGCATTTGCCCACCTTGGCTCTGTTGAAGTCTCAGGCCGCGTACCTTGCCGTGGGCCTGTCGCACTGTTGAACTTATCAGGGTCCCGGTCTCTACCCACTGGCTGCCAGCAGCGCCTCCCAATGTCAGTGACAAAGAACTGTCCACAGATGTTGCCCCACGGTCACCGGGTGACTTGTGCACACGGCAGTTGGAAAACAGTTCACACATCCCTATCAACTCAGACGACAGTTTTTCTCCCTTTTCTTCCGTCAGAAGATGGCCTGCAGTGGGCGCATTGCCAGCCCCGGCTCTCCCGTAATAAAAATAGTCATGGGGATGCGTCTGCAGCCCCTGACATTCCCCACCCAGCACCTTTCTCTGCGCCCTGGCCCCCCAGCGCCTGCCTTGCTTCCTTCTTTGTTTCTTCACGCAGTTAGTTCTGTAGCTGCAGCTCTCTTCACAGTGTCTCTGGGCTGCGTCTTTGCAGTTTACCCAGTACTGCTGGAAGCGTGACCTAAAAGCTGCCTGTGTCATAAGCACACAGGTTTATTCATTTAAAGGCAAAGGAAAAGGGGTAATATATTGAGGGCATGTACGTACAAATCTAAACGTATAAGGAGCTGAGGAAGGGGCAGAGACCTTCTCTTAAAACCAGCAGAAATCCCCATCTGGGGACGTGCACATTTAAAATGCCAGGTGGAAATTCTGGACACAGCATGCTGGCAGAGTGCTGGCCTCGCATGCGCAAGGCCATGTATTCACCCTTAGCACATATAAATAAACAAAATGAACTACAATAGGAGCCAAACAGAAAGTCTGTGGTCAGTGTGGCGTTGTTGGCTTCCGATCTGTAACCCCGAGTAGAACGGATAACTTCTAATTCCACCGTTACTCTTTCTTCTGATGCCACTGGTGTAGGTGCTGAACCTATTTCTGGCCTTGCTTCTGAGCTCCTTCAGTGCAGACAACCTGGCAGCCACCGATGATGATGGAGAGATGAACAACCTGCAGATCTCTGTCATCCGAATCAAGAAGGGCGTGGCTTGGACCAAAGTCAAAGTGCACGCCTTCATGCAGGCTCACTTTAAGCAGCGGGAGGCAGATGAGGTCAAACCTCTGGACGAACTATACGAAAAGAAGGCCAACTGCATCGCCAACCACACCGGCGTGGACATCCACCGCAATGGCGACTTCCAGAAGAATGGCAACGGTACAACGAGCGGCATCGGGAGCAGTGTGGAGAAGTACATCATTGACGAGGACCACATGTCCTTCATCAACAACCCAAACTTGACCGTTCGGGTGCCCATTGCTGTGGGCGAATCTGATTTCGAGAACCTCAACACCGAGGATGTTAGCAGCGAGTCAGACCCTGAAGGCAGCAAAGATGTAAGGTCCCAATGGAGAAAACTACCCCATCGTGTGTGTGCGTGCGCGTGCGCGTGCGCGTGCGCGTGCGTGTGCGTGCGTGCGTGCGTGCGTGCGTGCGTGCGTGCGTGCGTGCGTGTGTGTGTGTGTGTGTGTGTGTACCAGCCATGGTTGGAGAGGCTCTGCAGTGGGCACAGCCAGCCCAGTGCCCGAGTCATGGCTTCCTGGGCTAACCCTGAGTTAGTCGCATGGCTTCCGGAGCACCTGGGTCCGAGGCCGGAGTGAACACTGTAGCTTGTCCCTGCTCTTAGTCCACTCGCCCCGTAGCCGGAGACCCCCACGGGGCTGTGGCCAGTGCCTGTCTGTACGTGACCCCTAGCGGGTGGTGTGGCTCAAGGGCGTGTGTTCCCGGGCGGCTGCTTGACCACCCTCTTCTTTTGTGTCTAGAAACTGGATGATACCAGCTCCTCGGAGGGAAGCACCATCGATATCAAGCCGGAAGTGGAAGAAGTCCCTGTGGAGCAGCCCGAGGAATACTTGGATCCAGACGCCTGCTTCACAGAGGGTGAAAAGGGGGCAGGGGCAGGCTGGCACGAACCCGCGGGCTTCAGCTATATCTGTGCAGGGCTTGGGGGCACTAGAGCTGGCCACCATTTTGATGAAGTTTTGTGTCCTTTCCCTTACTCGGTTCCTGTTTGTCTGGCCTGCCTTCTCTTGGCGCCAGCCCCCAGAATTCCGCTGGGAAGGTCTCTGCTGGACCGTGTGCCTGTCTCCTGCCC